GCTCCTAGTAGTACGGCCAGGAGCCCCGATCGTAGCTTCCTTGCTCCGTTCGTAGCTTTGCAGAACTGGAACTCCGTTGGTTGACCCTTTCGTCGAAGAAGGCCACTGCACCGCTTTGGGGCACTCGTTTTTCACTCCTTGTCTGACGGTCCACAGCAACCTCACATTCATGTCGGGTATAAATAGAGTGGGATGTGGATCGAAGTCTCACGAGTGGGACGCGAACCAGGTTCAGTCGTGTCCAAAAACCATCAGCAACCAGCTGGCGACCTATAAGCAATGGCCCATAGAACCGAGTGCGTTGAGCAAGGGACATCCATGAGTTTAATTGCAGGCAGCGCTGTGTCGAGGGCCTGAAACCAGGGTTTTTGAGGCTGATTTCTTGTGAGTGTCGATGGCTGACGTCATTGAAAATACGTGCCATTCTCATGTCCATCCGAAACTCCCCTTGAACATCAGACCATCTCGGCAAGATACAGATGGAGGTGTTTGTTGAAAGGAATTTGGTCTAGACCCACCAAACCATGGGGATTAGCTTTGGACACTCCCCACCTCGAGCGAATTTTCGACCAGTCCACCATGCGAAGAGAACATTCAGACCCAAGAAGTCCCCGCTGACATCAGCATCTGAAGAACATTCCCTCATCTGACTGGTGCTTAGTAGGGAATGAGGGAATGAGCCCCAATAGAGATTCCTTTGGATTCATTCCCTCATTCCCTACTAAGCACCAGTCAGTCATACAAACCATGAAGCAAATCCAGAACCACTCCTATACATGCCTCCACTCCTATAGAGCGGCCGTTTGAAAAACACGGATGTCCCTCGAGTCACAGCCAGTCGTTCATGGAGGTCCCGTCGGAATGGTCCCAGTGACCTTAGCAGTCCGTTGAAGCGGAGGGGTTCGATGGTCCCAGTCCACGAGACCACTGACGGCAGGGGCATTTTCCAGACAGAGATGACTCGGGTTTTTGGGTTGGCCTGGTAGTGGTGGACGAACATCCGACAGAAAAGCTGGGGTCGTTCATGAGTCAGGTTCCGGAAAGCTTCTGGGAAGCTCGCGGCAACCTGCGGGGCCCGTGGGTGGCCCCATACAAAGTGTTGTTTTTTGGGGAAAGGCGTTTCTTTGTTTCGACTTGCCAAGACCGTGGCTTCGTGCTGACTTGTCGAACTGAGCCGCGTGATGGAGCATCTGCGGAGGTCGATCTGAGGGCTTTTTGAGCGAAGCGCGCATGTTGCACGAGCGAAGAAGTTCGAAGGTAGCTCCATGCCTAGTGTTTCATGAGGGAACTGACATGTTGTGGCGTGCGCAGCAGGCTGTGAGGAGTGGATGGAGAGAGGGATTAGCTTATGTCTCATCCGTGACCTTTCCTCGCAGCTCAATCTGTGCTGGAGGAGGGTTGCGCACCAGGAAGGCACACACTTGGACAAATAGATATGATGATATTAAGCCAATCATTGTCATTGTCAACACGGAACTTTCTACCAATGGCCCCACAATATGATCCATGCATGGAACATGGGTGAACGCTGACACCCTTGAAAAGAGCAAATCTCAATAGCAGCAGCGAAATCACTTTTTGCGAGCCTTCCTCTTTGAACGCGAACAGGATGTCCATGCGAAGCACAAAACGAGGGGTGTGGCCAGGTTGGTGAGTCAGAGTTGCCAACGAGCCATCAACAAATTCTTGGTGAATGCTGGACAGAAAGCACCAGACATACATACTTGGAAGCTGTTACTCTTTTGCTGATCAAACACTTGCTACCCGAGAGTGTTTAGCCGTGACCCTGTTTGTTTTCGACTCCAGCATAAATCAGGACCTGAGTCACTTGGAACTGGGTCTTGGCCTACGACATTGTTGCACTACATGAGGCATCACAAGGATACATCACTATGTGGCACTGATTGGTATTCTATTTTCATAGTGCCAAAGATGGATCTAAACTTCATTAACTGAAATCAGTGTTCCAAATGTGCAATTTTAGACGGGCATTCAGCACAAGTCAGCTTAGCCATTGAAAGTGCTCTTCACGAAAGTTGACAGGCTTTGCAGTTTTATTCAATTCTAGAGTGTCATTCAGGCGACATGATTGTGTTGGCCTCACTTTCGCCAGTTGCCCCCTTTACCCCAGCTGTCTTTGATGCTGTCATAGCCATAGCTTTACAATGAGGTCAAAGAGTCACCAATAAGAACTTCATGAAGAAGTCTGTCCCATCTGGCCGGGTTCAATGAGCACTGAGCACTTGTTCAGCGGACACCAGTTCATGACCAATCAGACATGATCACAAACGATCTTGCCTGCCTTCCTCGCAGTTTGGAACAAGTGAAGAGACAGGTGCTTAGAGGGCAGTCCACAGAGGGATTGTCGATCAAGACAAGCTGCAGATCGGTGTAAGTTTATGACGCCACCGGGGGAAGATGCACACCCTCTTCGTTGCATTATGACAGCTTATGCAAGACGAAGAGCTTGTACAATGGGATTCTTTCTTTTGGCCTGGACTTTTGTACTTTCTCCTTTTTCAAATTGGTGCTTTCGGCCGACACCACGAACGTCCCCGACCGCCGCATGTTTGGTCTTCACTCCCCTTCATGGTTTGACCGCTCGAAGCCGCCGAACCCCCCCGAATCCGCCGACCGCGCCGCACCCGCGACGCGCAGCGCACGTGGCACACCTCGCTGCGGAGACCATGTTTCTGCACGAGGCGAGAAGGATCGGTGTATCGCTGAGCGTCGACCCGGCTGTTTCTCCCGATGTGGGCGGCTCCTGGACTCTCGGGTGAAGAAGTCAAGGACGGACGTCTCGGACTTGTGGGAAGGAGCACACAGAACGAAGCTGAAATCATATTTGGTAAAAAACGACACCTACCTTAAGTGCTTTAAGTGACAACTGCAGATGCGCCGAAGCGCCAGACGAATGAAGCTGGCAGCTGATGAAAGACATCCACAAGAATAGCAGGTGCATCCCCACAAACCAAACAGCAAACACAGTCCTTTCCCCACTGTTGACTCAAAGAACCCATTGGTGGTACCGAGCATGTAAGAGCTGAGGAAATCCGGAAAGCCTGGAGTCGACAGTGGCAGCTTTATGGACATCATGCTATCTACTCTCCAAGGTCCCTTGTGCCTTCGAAGGCAACTCCCGTAGACGATGCTGTGGCCTGGGACTGGTCCGAGTCCAACTAGAGCTTCGACATGCACAGCAGTTGGGTCATGTCTCCACACTCTATACCTGCGCTATGAGAAAATGTGGAAGCTGAACAGAACGAGGAAGAAACTCCTGGTGCCGTGCCTTGATGGTCCATTGAGAGGCAGCTATCTCTGGTAACTTTGTACACCTGGATACCTCTCAGACCTAGAGGATGAACGGGGTCCCGGTTTTTTCAGCAAAACACCCCACCTGCCCCCGTCGACACCTCGGTCCTTCCTTCAGGTGCCCGCTGAACTGCAGGCGGAGGGGCTGGGACGGCACAAGAACCTCCGCTGTCTGCTTCGAAGACTCTGTTGTAATACATTCGTCCCATGAAGGCTGACCCAATCTCACTGTTGTAATCTCTGATCCGAGGGTTTCGGGATTCTGTGTTGTGGGGGCACAAGAGAATAGCAAGAACAAAAAAGACTAGATGTATCAAGATGTGGTAGAAACTCTCATGTTGGCGTCTCCTCTTCAGGAACCCTAAAACCAGTTGGAGGCCTTAGCCTTCATGGGCGGTTTCTCAACAATTCGCACGAACATGGGAAACGAAGGCTTCGGTGGTTGATTGGATCGCTCCGATGTCCGAGACCGGATCAGAAGAAGTGCATGTGCGCTTGTCTCCGTGCATATCGAGAAGATCGAGACAAGGTTCTGAACAAGAAACTAGAAAGCTTCTGCAGCAGAAATCAGTTGTGTGTCATTTGGGTTTTCTCTCCCAGAAATGCGGGATCTGGGGCATAAAGATCGTACGATCTTTCTTCAGAAGCGTGTGGCTCATGAACAAACATGCCCCGCTTGGCCCCCCCCAGAAGCTGGTCTCCCTCTAGCCCTCTAGAGGCCGAGAAGGAGAACTTCTTCGAGCGGCAAGCGACCAATCTCTCGGCCAGCACCGACCACGAAAAGGAGCCCTGCGACCTCTCTGGCCATCGCAGCCTGGGCCCTGCGCAGCCACGGCGGGGAACAAGGCTCCGTAGTAGGGGAACAAGGCTCGTAGTAGTTCTGCACCCCCAAGGCCGACAGAATTGCTTCAGCCCAGCCACAGGGCCACAGCTGGTTGTAAGGGTTAGTGTTAGTGGTATTCAGAAACTGGAAAGAGACAGGATTGAAAATGCGCCCAAAACACCATAAACCATTACGAACCTATATCGTTTAAATCGGTGAGTGTCAATTATTGCTTCCACCTGCCTGACTGCCTGCAGTGAAGATCTATTGACCTCTACTTGATCAGGCTCTGGGATTCCAAATCCCCTTTACATCCTCTTTTCGGACCCAATGGATTCCACGGGACAATCAGCGGGGTGGATTCCATGGCTTTCATGTTCGGTTTCGGACATGGACATAGACAGGGTGCACCCCCCTCAAAACTCTTGGCTCAATTCCGAAATGGTGCTTAAGAAAGGGATTAGCCCCGAACTGGTCTTTAGGGTCCGAGTCAAGAGTTTTGAGAGGGCGGCAAGAGGCTCAAAGCATTTTGGCTCATACCAGCCATCTTGGTGATCTTGGCCAGAGACATAGATGCATGATAAATGCCCTTGATTCTTTTTCCATGTTTTTTATTTTCCCAGTGCGAAATATCTGGACCATGGATCATTGCAGTCAGTCGTTCTTTTTGCCCCATGAAGTCCCGTGCTTAATTCTTGTTCCAGCCAGTCGCATGTCAACAGCTTGTGGGATTCTGCCTAGCTATCTGGGTCTATGCAGGTGTAATGTTCCAAATCGGTGGATCATGGATCATGCCGAGGCTGATGCATCCGGCTTCTCTTCCGAACCGGATTCGGATCGCGTCGCGTCGATGTTCCACCGGCTTCGCTCGGATTCGGATCGTCGCGGGTCGTCGCGTCGGGTGGGGTTCGCCCGGTGGACGCACGTGCGCAGGAGCTTCGGCCTCCGGGATGGTTAAGCCTCTGGAGTTTGGACCGGGTCCGGGGCTGCTCAACCCGAGGATGCAGGGTTGAAGGGGGAGGATGGCAGGAACCGCTGCGGTTTCTGTTCTTGGGGGGGCGAAGATCTGGATTTGGGGAGGGTCGGAAGGTGAGATTCTTGGGAGGTGCACACCATCTTTGGTGCTGTGAAAAAGGATACGCATAGAAATGGAGCAGTGCCAAAGACCAGGGTTCAAAGATGAACAGACTAGAACAGACTAGTGACTAGTTACCCAGTCGCATGGATTTTGTGGGGGCCTCATCACAATTCTGTTGGTTGAGGGGACTTGACATGGCCCGATGATGGCGGCCTGGATTTCATCCCCACTGGATTTCATCCCCATCAGCTGTCCCATCCTCCAGCCTGCGATCAGCACCCTCTCCAGTTGAACCAAAGTTAAGTCGGGGATTTAGCAATTGTGTGGGTGGGTTGTTCAGTGTACTACTCTTACTATCCTTTTTGGGAGATCCAATCTGGCCCACCCCAAACGCCTCAAAACCAGTGGGTTTGACCATGTTTGATCCCTTACAGAGGATTCGGGGGTCGATCACTGAACGGGTCCAGGGTCGTGTTTGACCCAGTATACATCTATAGAACTTGAATGACCTCCATTTTGGATCACCAACCACCCAAAATAAGGTCTTTTCCTATCAAAACAGAGGTCATGTCTGGGCTCTAGGTATTGATATCCATGGACGAAGAATCAAGACTCTTTCTGGTTTGGGACTGGGTGAAACCCGGGAGCCCCGCGCGAACCCACCTTGGCGGAACCAACGGCAGGTGGCCAATTTCCGGGACGCCGCCGGCCCTGCTCCTTGGCGGAGTTGGTTTTCCGCACGCTGGTCGAGTGACTTTCAGGGGAAGACACGTGGCGCGGTTCTTTTTTTCACCCAGAAGTTTAAGGTGCGAGGTTGGGGAATGACAAGCCCAATAAGATGGTTTGAGTCATTTTGAGATGAATCAGCTGCAAATGAGGTTTCTTTTTGAGGAGTCAATCTGCAGGTTTCGTTCTGGCGATGTATCTGTCCAGGGAATCTGCTGCAGAGTCGGCTGGGTACACCGATGCTGCCGGTTAGGCCGGTACGCCTATTGGCTGGTCACAGGAGAGTGTGGGGCCAGTTCTTGATGTGGCTATGAGTCAAACCCTGGACCCCTAGTGACCTCGCTGGTAGTCTGTTTTTTGATCCACTAATGGTGTCACTGTCACTATATGAATGATGGCACCTTTGATGGATCCCCAACCTAACCGGATGTGCGGGGGAGCGGATCAGTTGGCACATATCCTTTGAGCAGATCTGCGCAAGTGGGGGAAAGAATGTGGGCTACGCATGTGGTCTACCGAATAGGAAGGAAAGCAAAGTAGGAAGGAAAGCTCGTTCAACGAAGCACTCTTTTTGAGGCATGCCAGACATGTCAAGCACTCTTTTTTGGCTGGAATGTTTGGTCATTCTTTCAGACTATTGGAGATGCAGCTGCTCATGGGGGCACACGAAGCAGTTCCCACCCTTTGGCCGCTTTTTTGAGGACCCGCTATCGCCCTATCGTTGCAAGGCGCGTGTCCTTCATTGGGCTTTCAAAGAGACATGCCTCTGTAACCTCACATAAGCCAAGTTGGCTGTGAAACGCACTGAAACGCACCGTTCAGCGGGGAGCTTTGCATCGAACATCAAAGAAAGGTCCTGGTTCTTCCTCGGGTGAACAGGTGATATCTACACATGTGAGATGATCCGTGATCCGTCACGACCAATGTACTTCCTTCGAGGTTTTTAAGAACACGGACGAATCTATTCGGTCGATTTTGCGACAATTTCCACAGGGCAACGATTTGAAGAGGTGTTCATGGGCTTAAGTTGCAGTTTTGGCTTCAATATCGGAGTTCATACATGCTTCAGTCGGATGACAAGATACTTAATTAGCCGTTCTTTGATTTCTCATTCTCTACGAAAGTGTGATGACCCTGTCCAGTTCAGGGCACCCAGCTCTGAGATTGGATCCACTTCAGGGTCACTGTAGGCAGCGCCAGACTCTCCTCACGGACCGGATAGCCGAGCTTCTCAAGCCCAACGGCTCAGGGCCATTGCTCCGCTCTGGCCCACGGCCCCCCCCCGCCACAAAGCACCGGATCATCGCCAAGCCAAGCCTCGGTCAGGGAGGCTGCATCAAGCAAGGCCTCCTGTACCGTACAGGCTCGCTGCGGATCCGGTGCTTTGTGGCGTCACATCGGTTCTGGCAGAATTGGTTTGGTTTCGTTTGGTTGTTTTTTTTTGGCCGTATGGCCTTCTTGCATAGGAACTGCCACGAAAAACTAGCATGGCAGGAAGCTGGCAGGAAGATTCGTAGGATGTTTGTTTTGGCGGAGTACATGATTCATCCAGATGACTTGCTTACTCATGCTGGTTGATGCGGCAAGTCCGTCAATCTGCATGCTCTTGCCTAGTAACCTGTGAAGACTGCCAGGGTGGATCAAGGGGGTTACATCTTTCTGCGGGGCTTTTGGTTTGGATCTGGGGCTGGGTTGACTTTCGGCCCGGAATCCAACGCAAGGCCACACGTTTTCCACAGGGTGAGAGCACGAATGGACCAGCAGACGTGCGACCCAAATAGCATGATGCAGCCCACAAGACCAGGATTCCTAGGATGTTCCACCAAACAGCTGACCCGTCTTCCTCTTTTTTTCCCACCCAGATCTTCCAAAACTCGCAGACCACCCCCCCAAAATGCCCTTGCACCGGCCCCCCCGCCCCCCCCACCTCCCTACCTCCCACTCTTCCAACGTGAAGGCCATTGGGTGACGGCCACGGCCGGCGATTTGACCGTGCTGCGGGATCACTTGCAGATTAAGACCTACCTGGACCTCCGAACCGGACAGGCGGCCAACTCCGGGTCCGGGGGGGCCGGCGGGGGACCTGGGAACGCGGGGGCGGACGGGTGTGAGGAAAAGGCCGGTTTTGGTGTAGGTGTGTGGTGAAAAAAGGAAGGTGGTGCCCTGAAGTCGATCACTACCATGTTTATGAAGACCTAATTCATCCCCCAAGATCCGTGGTTTCTGGGACCAAACCCAACATATTTAGATCATTTAGACCGTTCACGCGTGGCTTGGGAGTGAGTGGCATTCCAAAACACCTGTCCGTCAAGTCTCGTGAAACTCTCGTGGGAGACGACGTCGGTGCCGAAAAGACCGGGGCCAGTCGGGTGCCGAAGAGGGGGCCACCAGCCTCGCCAGGACTTCGAGAGCGTGGATGCGTCAGGGGCTTGGAGTGCGTGGAGAGCTTGGGTAAAGGCTTTGATATTATATAGTTATATATATATATATGCACACATCCATCTGTGTCTGTCTCTGTCCCTCTCTGTCTATCTCTGTCTATCTGATTCTATCTGTATCTATATCTGTATCTATATTTGTATCTGTATATCTATCGATCTATCTGTCTATCTATCTACCTACCTATCTATCTATCTATCTATCTATCTGGGTAGATGTGATCTAGACCTCCCACAGGCAATTTTGATATGGGGGGTGTGTTTGTCTAGAACAGGGAGACCCTCCGGTTCGATCCGCTGGAAGGAACCTGGAAACCATACCAAACCCATCGGCTAGGGGCCAGGGGGCTCTCTATCTAAACCCTAAACCCATATGGGTGCGGGTCAAAACTTAGAAACCCTGGTTGAGGTTTGGGGTTGGGTCTTGACCCACACCCAACCCTGCCTCCAAACATAAAGGTGCAGACGTGCGATTACGGACGGAAGAGAGTTCTCCAGACTGGGCGCGCCAGATCTCGTCAGTTCCATCGTTGTTGGACGGAGGGTTAGTCCTACCCATTTAAAGTGGATAACCTGCAAACACCGTCTTTTTTGGATTGGCTTCCCCACTGAACGTGAACCTTTCCAGGAAACTTAGGGGGTCAGTAGCGTTTTTCTTGCGAGGTTCATCACTTGATCATTATCCCAAATGTGTGCAGTGTGTAGCAAGCGCCTGCGGGTCATCTGGATTTGACCCAAATCAAGACGATCGTCAAGACGGTCGTCAAGCCGATGGTCATGCGGGTTTTCGCAGATTCATCGGTAGGCTTGATGCAGACTTGGAGAAAACGGTCTTATGATGGATGATTTGACAAGACATGACAAGACCAACCACCCTCCAAACCATGTGACTTCCTTGTGTTGCACGAGTTGCACGAGCCGGATCCATCAGCATAGTTTCCATTGTCATCTTAACCAGTGCATTCAACTGCAAGCATCCTTTTCATGCATCCGGGGGCCTGGAAGTGGCTTGAAAGTTGTGTCGGGCTGCTTTGGGAAGAGTTGCTCGTCAGTTTCCAAGAGTGCCCTCTCAGCCAAGCAGGGTGTTGAGTCTAGGTGTCTAGACCCGAAGCATGGAGCGACCTTCTTGTGGCACGACCATTTACTGGGCCAATCAAAGGGTGAGACCTGCATCCTACAAAGCGCGAGTTCGTGGCACGATTGGGACTGCAAACACCCGGCGCCAAGCACAGGCCACCGAACTTTTGCGGGCGAAGGGAAAGCCAAAGCCCACCAAGAAATTGGCCTTCTTCACTCCCTGTCGTGTGAAATCTATTTGGAACTCTTTCCTTTTTCGAAGGTGCTGTGTGAACTCTGACTGCCGGGACCGCTAGCCCCTGCAGTCACTGGGACCGGGACCGCAGCCGGCCACTCAGGGAGTGCTTCGATGACTTTCCACCTTCACCCGCGGGGCGGCACAATGCCAACTGGCCTCGAGGCCGGCGATGGGGGCGAGGGCAGGCCGAGGGCGGGGCGCCTCCTCCGGTAGAAGCCGACATTTTTTTGGTGCAGAAGCGCGAAAAAAGCCATGAGAAATTCAAGGCTTCTTGACTTTTGGCGACCTCCACGCCAGTTTGGGCATTTCCGCGGTGCATGTAACATTTGCAGCTGTCGTGGTTTTGCTTTTGGGAGGCCACCTTTGGCACTGGATTCGTTTTGATTTCTCGCCTCTAGCTGGCCTGACGGTTGGGTGAGAAGCCACGTGGGGAAGTTCACTCCGACTCACGTTCCATTCAAGTGGGACCCCCCCCTGTATGTTGTAGAGGAAGTTCGGAGACTTCCAAGGGGCCAAGGGGGGCCCAGGAGCCATGAAGTTTCCACTTCCATGTGATGTGTTCGTCAGAGTTGTTCTTTTTTGCAGGATAGCCATCTCAAGAGCAGCCATGATCCCGGCACAACTCAGCTCAAATGATCCCGGCGGAAAGCCTTCAACCATCCCAAAAGCACCAGAAGCAAACAAGCCGGCCTACCTATGTCGTCCGGCGTCTAACACACACTTCGACATTGGTTTTCAGTTAACTCAATTTCCAGGAAAATGGTGATGGAACCGAAAGGTGAAAAGGTCGGAGCAGTTGAAGATGTTTTAACAAGTGGTTTATGCGTCTCTGCAGAACTCACGACGGCATCTCACGGCGGCTCAGTGGCTGAGAGTGGTAGAGTGTTTGGGGGGGAAAGTATCATGAAAGACCATGAAACAAAACGCGGAAAGTGGGGTCACAGCTTATGAAGAACTCAGCAGGTACACAGATTGGCGTCCCAATCTGCTTCACGGAATGGCCACAGCTGTCTTCGTTGGCAGCAGAACTGTGGATTCCCTGCTGCCCCCCTGCGGCACCACTTGCAAAAAAAACCCTTCGAGACAGGGCTTGACACACACACGGTGCCGCTTGGCGGCGCTCGTGTGAGAAACCTGCGGCTTCCTCAAGCTCGTCCTCAAAGGCAGTTTTTCGCTGCCCCCCTGGGCCAGAGCCCCCCCAGGGTGGGATCAAGCAGAGTGGGCTCAGTCAGTCGTCTCCAGATCGAACGATCATATCACTTTCGACGGCACTGACCGAAGGGCAGTCCGAGTCCTGGCACAGCGCTGGGAAGAGCAAGGTGATGGAGGCGACACCAGTGAGTTCCCAGGCTCCGGCTGGCTCAAGAGCAAACGTGCTCCAGTCCAGTGCGTTGAGCGAGGGGACCCAGATTTCGCCTGGATCATGGGCCGAGCTTATGGGGCTGGTGCAGCAAAAGAGCTCCATGGGCATGCCGGGCTCCTCTTCGGGTGCTGAAGACATCCAAGTGGTGAACCGCAGGATACTGGAGTTGTGGCCCCGCCTTCAGGCTCGGCAGGTGGACGAAGTGACGCAGGCAGCGCAGCGGGGTCGTGCGATCCAGGATTTGGGTCTTGTGGGAGCGCATCTGCTTCAGGCGCAGCGAGCAACGCCGCCGTTGCAGGTGACGGAGGAACCGATTACTCCTCCGCAAGATCCACTCCGGGAGAACAAGACGCCTGCAGATTTTGCAGCACACCAGCAAGCCGTGCTCCAGAGCCAGATATCCACAGTGACCAAGCGCTTGGAGTCGGAGGCCGTGCCGCCTTGTTCGCAAGGCGAAGTGGCACCCTCCACCTCTTCTTTGGTCTCTGGTGGTGCACGTTCAAGGAGGCGAAATCGCGGTGGGCGGCCCAACAAGGGGCCCTCCGGCGGTGGCGAAACCTTGTCCACAGGCACGAGCGAAGTGTACAGACGTTGCCCAAGCCTCGGTTGGCTTTATCTTGCGACCGGGCTTTGCTTCTTTTTCCCCACATTGTTGTGTGGGGTTCTTGTTTTTTTTGCTGCACCTCCTCGCTCGTCCTCCTCCGTCCTCCTCCCTCCTTCCTCCTTCCTCCTCTCTAACTACAACCTCTCTCAACAACATCACTCAGACAACATCCCACACACAACGTCTTGCATACAACATCACTCACACAACATCTCTCACAACAACATCTCACACACACAACACACAACGTCACTCACACAACATCGGATGCCAAGGGGTCGGATGACAAAACATCACTCAGAGAACATCCCACACACAACATCTCACACACCACAGCACACACACAACATCTCTCACAACAACATCTCACACACAACAGCACACACACACAACATCACTCACAGGCGCAGCACATCTCGTGGCAGGCACAGCACTTTGCTGCTTGCCAAGGGGTCGGATGTACGCCCTGGCGTCGGCTGGGCACCGGCGCTGGATGTGCAGATTTCGTGGCAGGCGCAGCACTTTGTGAACCTTCATGTGCAGATTTCGTGGCAGGCGCAGTACTTTGTGAACCTCCGTGTGCAGATCTCGTGGCAGGCACAGCACTTTGCTGCTTGCCAAGGGGTCGGATGTACGCCCTGGCGTCGGCTGGGCACCGGCGCTGGATGTGCAGATTTCGTGGCAGGCGCAGC